TAGGCTACCACAGCATTCGCCGGATTTCCTTAGCCATTCAGTGGTACCTAGGCATGTTCCTGAGCGGGAAGAGGCTCTGTTTGACTAGTGTGTAGTTCTATCGGTCTTGCCCAAGAACAAAACACAGTGATCGTGGCTGTGTTTCAATCCTCCACCCTTCGATCTCAATACAGTCCATTGTTTTAAAAGTTTTGTCCCTGCGACTCTCACGACCGCTGCACTGTAATCGAGGCTAAATTGGCCTGGATTTAATCTTCAACACAAATACAGGTGCAAACCGACATACACAGACTCATTCATAATTTGGATCAAGCGTATCGTGCTCAAGCTTGTCGGACCGTGATTATGGCTTCCTTGAATACCAAAATAACAGTGAAAGATGAGGAAAGTAAAACATATGACAGAAATCGCTCCAGAGTGAAACGGAATAGCTGCCCTAAGGCTTATTTACATTAGTTAGCTAGTTAAGCCCCTGGCTCCAGGTTGGAGCATGGGCCATCGACAAACTGCCGCCACTGACGCCTCTTTTCTGCCAGCTGTTGCAGCTCCTTCCAGTTCTTCCCGAGGGCCTTCATCTCTTTTTCCGTATCCCTCCTCCAGGTATTCTTGGGGCGGCCCCTCTTTCGTTTTCCCAGTTTGGTACATGGACCTGACATTCCACGTACCGATTGTGATGGTGTGTCTTGGAGAAAGAAGGCTAGTCAGCCGCCGAGGGTCCTTCTGGCTTTGCCTCTGCCGCGTCATTCTCCCGGAAGGGCCTTCTCCTGCCAAGATGTCTGTAAACGTGTTTCTGTTTGTCGATGTTTCTGTAATCGTGGCATATCCACTTGGCAGGTGATTGGCCTACCAAGCTTCACCAGAGCCCTGTAAGCCGGCATTATCCGTTTCCACCTTATTTACATACGGGCAAAGAAAAGCGATTGAAAAACATTGGCAAAAGCTTTTTAAAAGAGTTTTGTGTTAATACGGGGTAATTATCAAATAAGTTCACACTATTGACTCACCTATGCCCAATAAAACTCATAAGATTTCAACGAATTTTTCTCTCGTAGCTTGTGACAATCCTTTAGGAATGGAAGCACATGAAATTTGGGACGGAGACATAAAAGCTAGTAGCTGGAGATATTCTGCTGACCCATACCGAGCTCGGCTGAATGGCGCAAGCGGATGGCAGGCTCGAAGCGATCGTTCTAACCCCCCCTTCATTACAGTGAAGCTCGGAAGCGGTGACTTCACGCTTACAGGAGTGGCCACACAAGCCGTGCAAAACAATCTAGTCAGATCCTATACCCTTTCATATAGTTACGATGGCATTGATTGGGTTGATTATCGCGAGGACGGAAGAGTTAAGGTATTTGAATGTCCTCCGTTCAGAAAATTTGCAAATTTGATGAATTTATGAAGGGGGGATCAAACCTTGTACATGTACTTGCCGCTTCTGTCTCATTCATGTAGTTTATAGTTCAAAATCAACGACATTTTTGCTGGCATTTAGATGAGACAAATGTTTTTTTTAAAATACAAGTTTGCATTCGTAGAATACAAAAAAGTTTCTCTGTGAGAATATATATATATAATTTAACAGATCTTTGAAGGTAACAACCCTTCCACAAAGACTGTAAAGCACGAATTACTCAGGGGGATCATCCCAGGGCACATCAGATTGAATGTGAAGGATTCAACGGCTGGATATACGGGACTTAGATTAGAACTCTATGGCTGCAAGCGTAAGTAAAAACTTTTGCTGTAAAATATTCTACAATATCCTTTAACTCTAGAAGTCGAAGTATATCAACGGATTAATCCCAGGGAGGTAGTTTCCACACTATTCCAAAGACTAATATTTTCTCGTCACGGTGATTGCCAAGAGCCAATCATTTTTTCTTGGTCTACTTACTTTAATTGGAATTGAATTACGTCATATTATTCAAGTATTAGACTCTAGCCTGAATATTCTCCTATTCCTAGTGGGCTGGTGAAGTCTTAGGAATGAAAATAGTATCTCAAGGCTCGCTTGAGTCTCATTAGAAAGTGCAAGTCAGCCACAGTTTGCCCATCAGCCCTGTTTGATTTTGTAAGAAATGTTAAAGTAGTGGATAGTTATAAGAATAGGTAGGAACTTTATTTCTTTCTTCTCTTCTTCCTATCGCTCATAAAATCTACCTGTATCTTTTATGTAAAGATTCCAATACGAAAAACCACGCAATTTGCGATCAGGTCCGCGCGTTCGTTCACCGAAAAATTTCTTCGCGAAACAGTCGTATTTGAACATGTCGAGCAACAAACATGACATCTCCTAGAGGAGCTTTTAAACGCAACTCCAGAGTTCGATTGTGAACCAGTTAATCACAGTGTGAGATTGCCATTATTAGTTGTGAGAAATTTTGTTGTTTTCGTTCTGTGTAAAGCACCCTTATATATTGAGCCTTTCTAGATGTCAAGAAATGATTGTTGGGATAATGATAGGGATAGATATTGTGGAGGCGCTCAACTACGTTCAAATTTAAGTTTGGTTAATTTGTTTTACAGGTTACGTCGTCGTCAATAACAACGATGCCATCGGTCGTCCAACATCTCAATCTGGAAATCTGACAGACACTTCTGCACTTGCAGTCGATGGCAACAGAGCTTCAAATTACACGGCCGGTTCCTGTTCATTTACGGGCGAAACCGAGATACCCTGGTGGAGAGTCGACTTGCTTTGGACGAAGACCGTAACTGGAGTATATATAGCAAACCGTGGCGACGAAACCTACCGAGAGGTCATAGAACTGTCAATTAGAGTCGGCTTTAGGGAGGACAGAGGAGGAATCGCAAACCCGACGTGTGGTGGTCAGTCCTATTTTTTCTCAAGAGGCGAATCTAGACTGGTCTCTTGTGTACCGGAAGTGGAGGGAAGATTTGTAACTATATTTGCTCTGCAAGTCAATTCATCCCTTAGCTTATGTGAGGTGGAAGTTGAAATAAGCGATACAGGTTCGATTTTGAGTTCTTTTTCTGGATTGACCACATAGTAATTAATGAAATATTTGAACGTACGATCCATCAGGTGATTGGTTTAGACGCACTATGGGACCGAATATTCCCAAGCTAAAACTGGGTGATATCCAACTTTATTATCCAACTACACTTAGACGAGTACAAATATCACGCGGTATTTGTACTCGTCTATTGTAGAGTACCGGTTAAACAGGTTTTCTCGCATCGCGCAAGCGAAGAATTGGATTGTAGTTACGACAAAAAAAAAAGTGGCGGACAATTTGAATCATATTTCCGACGACGAAGAGTCAGAAGGGCTGACAAATATAGATCCAAGTTTATTAGATGAATCGAACAAAGAAAAACAGCTTGACGACCAGAAAATTTCTTCGTTTAATGAAGAAAATAGAAACAGCAACACAACGCGCCAATTCTGTTCCGCTTCGCATACTTCTGCCACGCACTCCTCGTAAATAGATATCCGCGAAATTCGCCCGCACTGAAATATCAGTTTGGCGTGTTGGATAATAAATAACTTATTAGACGTTTTGTTGTGTAGTATCGCTGAGTATTTTTACTCGTTATTTGTATTTTGACTCGCCCTACGGGCTCGTCAAAATACGGCACAACTCTTAAAAATACTCGGCGATACTACACAACCAAACGTCTAATTAACAATTATTCCACGAGCGCGCGTTGGATATGAGATGATAGATAGCCAACGAGGCGCGTAGCGCCAAGTTGGCTATAATCATCTCATATCCAACAAGCGCGAGTGGAATAATTGTTTTATTAAAAAAAAAAAACGCCCCCAAGATATTAGACAAATCTTCTCGACTTTATTTTGTAAGAAGAAACCGGATGTTACAATGTACAGATATTAGATTATGGTATATTGGCTCATATACCATAATGGCTAAGCCAATAAAAAGTCTTGAATTGCATTATTCAATGATCCAGTTTTTAATAATAAGATATATATATCGCCCAACTGATATTCCCCAATTCTCAAACCTGACGTTCACGATGATAAGTCTTCGTTTAAAAATTAATTCAAGATGAGAGAGCGTTTTGTAGTAGTTTGCTACAGAAGAAGGGAAACATTGTTTTGTTCATGAAGTCGTTTCAGAAAACACTCAAAGAAAACGTCCCACGCTGTTTACAGTAAGCTGTTCATAAACATTTTTTAAGCGCCTCGCAAAATATTTGAATGATAATAAACATGATAACCTCTATTTTGCGCGAAAATTTACTCGTATATATTTTTCTTGGAAATTATCTGTTCCTCGAAACTCGCAGGTTTCCTCGAGCTTTACACTCGGAAAATTGTTCGCGTCCTGCAACAGATAATTTCCAAGGACAAATATCCATACATATTTCCGCGCAAAATAGAGGTTATTGTGTTTATTATCCTTCAATTTTTTTATATAGTGCTGAAGGTACAGTCTGCTAGTCACAGCAGGTGCCGCTCGAGGGAAGAGGTTGCTCAGCTGGTATTTTGCGTAGCCCTGTTGCCAAGTCGTAAAAAATCAGAGGTTTACCCACCTCCGACTTTCACAGTGTCAGTCAGGGTGCGAGGTTAAGCTCTATTAACGTCCACAACTGTCGCATGATCCCAATTCGATTTGCTTTGACAGTAGAAAGAGTTGTCATGTGCCCTTAACTTTGGATTGAAACAGGGTTTACTTTGTTCCTTTTCACCACCGATGAACAAGTGGGTACAAAACAAAGCTTTAGGAAGGATGCAATTGCATTTGCAAAGTTCTGGATTAGCATTGACAACCACAGCAATCGCAGGCAAGGCAGCTTTGACTTTCGTCCACTGAAGAAGTTAAAATATGTTCATAATATGTTCATTCAGTCACATTTTGTTTGACTGGAAAGCGCAGATCAGCATTAATGTGACTGCATTTCTTGAAAAATCTAGTAATTTCCAAACACTGGGTCCCTGAGAAATGACTCGTCGTGATTAATTTAAAGCTTTTTCTTTTTGCGCTATAGTCAGTCAAGAAGGTCTCGGAATGTACTCGGATCATATCCCGGATGATAGCATCACTGCCTCATCTTGGCTTAGCTCCAAACATCTGCCATATTTCGGAAGACTGGACAGGAACATTGGTCACGGAGCGTGGTGCAGTGCACCGAATGACGTCCAGCCCTATTTGGAAATTGACCTTGAAATCGAACACATGATCACTGGTGTTATTACCCAGGGTAAACATCGGTTGTCCTCCGATCAGCTCGGATTTGCTTGGGTTACAGAGTTCTTTCTGTCTTATACTACCAACCAGAAAAACTGGACATTTGTTAAAGATGTAAAAACCAGTCAACCTATTGTGAGTAAAATCAGCAGTGTGGCAATGCCCCATTTATGTCTAATTTTGTTTCAAGTTTACTCTGCTGGTTAGGCCTAGACAGAACCTCTGATAACCGAGAAAAAATATGCCGTCGTCAGGTCTAGCCTGCGAGCAGGCCGGCATCTTCAACGCCTCAATCGTCCCTAAAAAGATTTTAATTGAGTCAGGTAGAGTTTTGACGGGGGTCTGGCACTAATATTAATGGTAGACACTTGGCAGTACCTCTTGTAGTCTCGCGTTGCTAAGCAAGGTGTCATACTTTCCAGTTGCCGAAAAAACGTTCGCATCGAACAGTGAACTTTTTCTTTAAGGCGTGGCATTTATTGAGCAAAAGTATATTTCACTATTTTGAATATCTTCGCCACAAATACAAAAGGTTTAATAGTCGCCTAGTATTTCCTTTTAATTTCTCTTTTAGAAATTTCTTGGCAATGATGCAGTTAACTGGAGGAAAAAAACCAAACTTCTCGGGTTCACTGGCCGCCTTGTTCGCTTTCACCCTGAGAAGTGGAATAACTTGCCGTGTCTTCGGGTGGAGCTCTTGGGAACTAAAGGTGTGCTCCTTTACGAGGACAAACGATTATTGTATAATGAACACTGTTGAACACAGTAGTCCGAAAGACAACTATCGGTGTGGCTTTTGCGTTTCGATAAGAAGATCCCATTACTGCTAATTTGTTAACTCAGATTATTAACTCATCCACTTCCTTAATCATTTCCCTTGTCCTTCGGCTGTAGATAATGTTCAAATAAAGGAAAAAATTTGTAAAAAGAATTAAAGCAAATCTTCTCCAAATTAATACTCTTATATTTGTTAATCATGTTTTTTTTTAATGATAGTTTGTTCCGCTCCTTTGGGGATGAAATCAGGAGAAATTAGCAACTCGGCCATCAGATACTCCAGTTCGACGTCAGATCACGAGGGCTATCATGCAAGGCTTAAAAATAGTCATGATTGGATTCCACAAAATGCCGATAAACACGCCTTCCTTAAGATTGATTTTGGGTCATACAAACAGCGTCTTACGGCACTGGCCATACAATCTGGGAGTGGTGGCTTTGTCACCAAATTCAAATTGTCATATAGTGTGGAGGGCTGGTCATGGAGGCACTGGATCGAAGACGCTCGCGAGAAAGTAGGTAACCTGACTTAACGTCCTCAGCTTTTTTTTTTCTCATGTAGAGGATCTTTAATGAGTCTCATTTTAATTTCCCCTCTCTCATAAGCCTCCTCGTGGAAGCCATGGAAGTATATGTGCCCTCATGACCTCGAGCTAAATGTTTTCCTGAAAGGCCCCCACTCGGCCATAGAACATAGTAGGGAGTTTAACAAACCACCAAAACGGCTGTGGTAACAGGAACGTCATTAATCAAAGGCTTAATGAGCAGAGCAATGGTTTTGCACGTGCTTTATAATTCTTTGTAAATTACTAATTGTGTCCTTTGCAAGATAACAACGTAAAACAACAAACTTTGCGCCGTCGTGAACGACGGCAGCATTTTCTTAAAATTCCTATTTCTAAAAAAGGCTGTGTTCAGTTTCGAGAAAAAAAAAAGTATCGCAAGATTCGTAGGTAAAATACAAGTTTTTTTTTGCCGACATTGTCCATGGCGTCGCCGTCATCGTTTGTTAAACTCCCTATTATTCTTGATAGAAGTCATGTGAATATTGACCCCTTCTGTCCATTTATTAATTGCTTTTGTTCGACGCTCGTTGCAGTTAATTAATTTAGCGACCACCCCAAAATAGCAATGAAAGAAGGCTTCTAGATCTAGTTTAAATTCGTTACCTCCCTAACCTTATGGTACCTTCTTTATTGATATCAGTCATCCTTCTCTTTTCATTACCTTATTAGTTTTTTTCCGGAACTGAAAACAGAGTAAGCATCAGGAGATTTCTGTTGCCGTATCCTGTAGAAGCGCGCTACTTACTGATAAACCTTCTAGCTTATGTCGGAAATAGAGCCACTCGTATTGAAGTCTATGGATGTACAGGTTTGTGAATACAAATTCTCTATGTTTGGTATGTTGCCCATGAATAATCTGAAGAATGTCGACAAACGGCGTTGTTGTGTTGGTATTTCTACAGTCCGCACAATTTTACCCACAATACACTTCATTCCATTAAGAATTTCTTGGTATGGAGTCATTGCCGGACGCCATATTTCAGAAAAAAAAAGAGAAGGATTTTGAAAACTTTTAGGAATGAAATAATTTGATATTTGAGGTTGGAAATCGTTACTAGGCTAGGTTCATATAAATTACCACTGCGCCTTGGTCTTACTATGTCCAATAGAGACAAACTTGGCCAAGAATGCCACGATCCTCATCAGTTTTATGTCCCCATAGATCCGTTTCGTACCTGAAATTTTCTCTGCATTTGTAGAGCAAAGGCCCTCCGATACGGGCTTAATTTTTAACTATGAGAGATTTGTGAATGCATACACTACACATAGACCAGTTAACCCGGTAAAATACGTTCTAGACTGCATTTATTTGATATTGTGAAATTCATATTGTAAAAGTAGACAGCATTCCGCGGCTTTCTGACTCACATTTGGTTAAGTCCTAAAGATCAGGTTGCCTTCAACTGCTATCGCTCGTCCTCGTTTCTGTTGCGTGTAGCGAGCAGGGGCACGTATAATCTTTCTGCTTAGTTGTCTGGTGTCGTTCTCTGTTACCCATTCCCCTCCTGGGGGGAGAAGGAAGTTGTAAGAGAAAAGTGCTGTACCTCAGAACAAATCCCACACTCCACAAAGTTATCCTTAGGTGACTTTTGCGGAGGTCTGTGTTTACATGTTAAATTTTTTTTAACCCAATCCTTGATCGTAATAAATATCAAAGGTAGTAAGAATTTTTTTCAGTGATAACTTTCAAAAACAAATCCATTAAATTATGATCTATTGTCAGGGGATTATTCTGCATCTAAGGTGGGAATTCAGAGCATTGACAAGATTGCAAATTCTTCTATGACCGCCTCAAGCTGGAAACCTGGTTACTACCCTTATGCAGCGAGGTTGTCCAAGTCGATTGGGAATGGTTCTTGGTGTGCGGCTGCCACCAAACAAGATGAATATCTACAGGTGGATCTAGGGAAGCAATACAGCTTGGTCAAAATAGGGGTGCAAGGTGACACTGCATGGGGCTCAGGAATGAAACAGTTCTACATTGCTTACTCCAGAAATGGAGGAATGTGGACTAATTACATGATACACGGAGCGAGAAAGGTAGGGGAGAGGAGAAATAGTTAGGTTAAAAATGAATTTGACCAGTGCAATTTTAATTCTAATCATGTTTTTTTGCGTCCAAACTTTTTGAAGATCAAGATCCTTCAATGTCTTTTTGAGTATGAATGAACTGGAATCAATTCGCGAATTGTATATTCTACTGACAGAAATCACAATTTTCTTTTGTATGATAACAATTTAGTATTGATCCTCACTTATAAAATAACTCACAAGACAAACCAATAATCAGCCCTCAATGAAACCTTTTATTTCTTCAAGGTATGGTGACCTGTATCCACGAGTAAACATTCATATACATATCGATTCATTTAATCCGTACATTTTTTTAACTTTCAGCTATTTGAAGGTGTTAGCGGTGACTCGGTACGTCGAACAGTTTTTGAACGAACTTTCGTCGCGAAGATGATCAGGGTTATCGTAAACAGTTGGTACAGTTGGCCGTGTCTGAGAATGGAGTTGTATCACACAGGTGAGACTATTAGGTCTCCGTTTGTTCGTAATCTCCTTCTACATTCATAACCGTGGTAGCAGTCAAAACACGCACTTTTGGTTTTTCTTTGTGTAGATTGTAAGAACAACCTGAGCTTTAGTCTTAAAGAAGCCAAAAATGGAGGATACACAGCATCGAGTTTCCTTGGACCTGGTTTTGAGCCGTGGCGTGGAAGCATCCTCACTTCAAGCAAACAACATGGCTGGTGCGCAGAAAACAGTTCAACTCCAGACTATTTGCAAATTGATCTGAGAGTTCTTAATCGCGTCACTGGAGTTTTGACCAGAGGAATCGTTGCAGGGGTTTTAGAGAAGGAAGCTTGGGTGAAACAATACACAGTTCAACACAGCATACTAGGGGATCACTGGATTAATCACAAGGAGGAAGGAGTCGTCAAGGTGAAGTGTTCAAAGCAATAATTTGAATTTCAGTTGGTTTTTCGTATGGAGCTCCTTCCAAAAATCATAGTGTGATAGTAAATGATACCATTGAATAAATAAAAATGGAGCGCTTAACCCTTAATGACTTTATAACTTAACATTACTATGCATATTATCCATACTAATCTTTATACAATACTTAAGGTACTGGCAAAGAGACAATCAATAGGTTCTTTAGTTGGTGATCATTTCCTTTGCTTTTGCGAGGTTGATTTTTAATTCAAGGGTGATGTTGCAAGGAGAAACAAGACTCTAGTAACTGGGGGAGGGGGAGGGGAAGGAGTTTTCATTGTATTATCAGAGTTTTCCAGAGAAGGATTAGACGCAGCTAAACGAAGGGCAAAGAAATCAGCCCGGAACCAATGGTTGAGGATCTAAAAAGGGGCTGTCTTGACTGGTGAAGGGAGACTGCACAGTAACCCATTGATGTGATAAGATACGTAGTTTATCAGAAACCGTCACTCTTAAATACACCTCTGCCATATCATTCTACAATAAGAGAAGCCATTCCTGCTCTTAAGCAGTAAATCTGAGAAGAAGAACCTGCAAGGAGAATTGAATGTTGAATCTTCATTCCTTTTTTGGTCACTTAACTGTTTACGGTGAACCTTATTTAGAGCCTAATGGAAAACCGATGACTTTTGTGTAGCTAGGAACGGTCCTACTCAGTATACAACATGGGTTTTTTTTTTCATGGGTCTCTTTTTGCTTACATATCAGACATTTGATGCAAACGCAGATGCAGTTTTTTCAAAGAGCCAGGTCACCAACTTCTACGCCCGTTTTGTTCGAGTAATTCCTAAACAGTGGCATTTCAGACCATGCATGAAAGTGGAACTTCAAGGCTGCGAAGGTAATCTTTAAATATTTTCAATTTATCCTGTATATATGACGTGGACAATGGAACAGTTCGTCAGAGTCAATCGAAGAGTTGTTTGTCAGCCTGTTTCGATAGAACGGATTCGTCAGTTTTTCCTGGATGGTATTGGCTGTTAGACTTAGCTGTGATTGTTAGTTAGATCGTGCTGTTCGTTGCGTTGTTTAAGGTAAGTAGTTAGTATGATGGCACTATTTGTCGACCTTTGTCTTGAAAGCAGGTCATACCGTAGGTTTGACATGCCCAGATCCACCCAGTAGGGTTTTTCTTAAGTCGATTTCTTACTTCACTTTTTCGCATCTCGTGTTTGCACGTATTCTGTTGGTCTTGTGTTGAGGTTTCCACCAGTCAGGGTGATTTGGATTTTTTAGCAGTGGACTCTTTTCATAACTTTTCAATAAATGTCAACCACACTGTACATGTATTTTCTTACAACGTCCTTGGATCTTTTGTAAATACGAAGTTCATCCTCACAATTTGGTAATTTTTTTTTTTCATGTAGAGTGTTCATCTCCATTGGGAATGGAGCATGGTGAGATCGCTGGCGACCGAATAAAAACATCAATGCCCATCTCAAGTAATACTAATGCCCGACTACGCTGTAGCCGATATAGTTTTTTGGGTAGTTCCCAATGGGAGCCATTCATTCAAGTTGACTTAGGGCCGGAAAATAAACGACTGACAGCTTTTGCTATGCAAGGAAGGGATTATACTTACAATACTTGGGCCGTCTACGTGAAATATGCAGTTGGGGATGGGTCAGAATGGTTCAATTACACGAAAAATGGAGAGACAGAAGTACGATTTACTGAACATTGTATTACATCTAGAATTAATTGCAGCCAAGGGGTTTATTTCCATCTGCGCATTTGCTATGGTGTGATAATGTTGCAGCATTAATAGATGTCCATGGGCGCGATTTGCTGCTACAATGACTCAGTGGGCCGAATGTTTTATCAATGCGTCATACGGATAAAAACCGTACACTGCTTTCTTTGTATGTTTCCAACAGACCGGAGTGAGTAAGAAGTAGGAAAACCACGATTAGCGCCTAAGGCTATAGCTAATGATTCCACTTAGCATTTATATGTTGGTTCTTTTCCAATTGGTTTTTAGCGCTGTGGAAATTCTGTCAACACTCCCACGCACCATTTTTCGTATGGCGTTGCTTTGAATGTTTTTTTTTTGTTTCCATTTTATTTGTCGTTTAATACCTTGCCAACGGAAAAAAAATGCAGTAGCCATACTTGACTGGTCAGCTGACTTCGGCCAATTTGAATAGAAAAGAAAAAGAGATTTAGTTTGCTCGAAAAGGTGACACGTAACCATTTGACTTCATCTCATAGTATGCGGTTGAAAGGTCCCTCTCCACATCAGGAGTCATTGCATTGTGAGAGAAATAATAAACACCTGTAGGGGGCAGGAGGTTTCCATATCAATGGGCTTGTGAAGATTGATAACGGGAAAAAATTATGTTGGAGTCGACGTCAAACCAGGATAAATTTTACGTTCACTGAATGGCTTTTTTCAATTTGACAGATATTTGAAAGAGACCAACACATGGACATGATGACCAAACATTTCTTCAAACGCACCTTGACGACTCGCTTCATTCGTGTTCTTCCACTCACGTGGTCTCATGATGTTGGCCTTAGAATTGAATTGTACGGTTGTCCAGGTATGCGAAGCTCTTTATACTGAGGAAAGAGGCGAGTAAACATATGCATAGAGTGCATAGTGGGGAGGGGAGGGTAAGGTTTACAGAATACCAAAGTGCTCATCGTCATTGAATGGTTCCTACGTATACAATCCTGACGTTCTCAACGTCAATTTTCATTTTGTAGTTTTTCGTCTCTCGTTTTCATCATTGCAGTGGCCAGGGAGCTCTAATCTACATAAAAATTAGACAACAAGGCTCAATTTTCGTGTGCAGATCAACAGTAAATGAAGCGATACCGATTTCACCATCATTTGTAGGAGTGGGGTCCATTGTCTGTTTCTCCAAAAGAGCCAGTGGCTGTTACTAAAGGGTTGATTTTGTCCGAAAAAAGGAAAAATTAAAAAAAAAGCACATTTTAATTTGGAGAGACCATTCGGCTAGGTGAGGTCTTAGTTTTACACCAGAAGGACCTCCAGCAATTTTTAATCTTCTTGATCGCAAGTTCCTCTCATCTCAATAACGTGGTAGAAAATTTGAGAAAATATTCCCCTTTCTTTTTAGAGTGTCTGAAAAACGTAAAGGGAAATTTCTTCTTTCTTGTGATTGTCAGTGTTAAAATTGATTTTCATAATCAACACGTCAATCTCTGGTCAATCTTTGAGAACTTGGAATATCTATCGAAATATTACCGAGCCAATAAGGTAATTTTAGTACGCTTTTTTTCAGTATGCGAAAACCCCCTCGGCATTGAAGGTGGTCTTCACAACGTGACTGCATCCTCCTTCAGAGGAGCTGGGCACGAACCTTGTTGGGGACGACTCAACTCTGCAGGCATTTGGCGCCCTTACACCAACCAAATATACGAATTCCTTCATGTGCGCTTTGATCACGTGATGGCCATAATAGGTATTGCCACTCAGGGTTATAGTGCCTCTTGTGGACGAGTTAAGAGATTCTGGCTGTACCATAGTTTGGACGGAATGCGATTTGAATTATACAACGATCCTATAATGGGAGACGTAAGTGGAGCAGGCCTGTTTGTTCAATAACATTTTCAATCTTGACCGTCACATCCCGGTCTCAGAAGGGAGAGAAACTTGGGAATTGTATCTGGAGGTTTCGCATACTTGCAAGTTTGTCCTTGCATCACCTTTGTGAGTTCCACCTCTGAAGTTAAACAAGTTCCAGTGATATTCTTCGATCAACATGCAATTATTTTTTTATGATTCAAACGCGTGACTGAAAAGAAAGCTGAGTTGCTTTGGCCCAACGAAACGAAATACGTGCTTTGATCACAAATTCCTTCAGCATATTTTTAGCTCCTTAAGGAGCACTCTTTTGCTTAGTTTGATCTAAAAGAAGCTATGGAAATTTCCTGCGAACACGAGCATAAAGCAGTGTTAAAGCAATTGGTTTGAGACCAGAGTAACGAAGCGGCTTTAAGTTACTAGTGTAGGAGTCCTTCGTTGTTTAGCACGCTTAAGAGTTTGCGTGTCGATCGAACTTTGCATTTTCATCGAAATTAGTTAGGGGGTAAGGATGGAGACGAACTTGTTTAACTGCCGGACGAACTCACAAAGGTGGTGGGGGCGAGCATGCAATAAGGCGAGCGAAAACTCCTTAAACCCCGAACGTCAGCTCGTTTCCTCGTAGACTTCGTTTCCAGTCTCACTGAAATCTCCGAATGTTAATAAGAGGGGGAGATGAAATTACGTAAACAGAAGTTCATCTTCAGTTCAGTGTAAATGGAACTCTTTATTCACATCAGTGTGAATAGTAAGCACTTTCTGTTCGTGAGCTGAAAAGCTATACATGTAGTTTTAAAACCTTGGGTAAACTAGAGAAGCATCTCCTTTAGATTTCTGTTAAAATGCTATAATGTGCAGGTCATTCATAATATTAGTTATCGAGGTTGGTCTGTGCTTCAAAAGCTGGTTAATAATACATTGCTAAATTCGGTTTGCGCAAGTTTTAGGTCACCCTACACTTTTCATGGACAGGATTTTTTTCCTTGCTGAAACTCTCTTCGAATGAAAGCTCATTGGGTTTTGTTGGTAGTTTTGTTAGAGTAGTAGAGAGCATTTTTAAAATCACTCAGCGAATCTTATTTTAAGTATTATTTTTGTTGACATGCGTTTACAGAACAAACTCCAGATTTAATAATGACCAGAAAAGATAGGGACGTTCCGGAAAATATGCTTTTTTTCGATATTGTTTTTTATAGGGATGTTCAAAACTTTGTTCGACACTTCTTATCAAAAATTCATAAATTTCAAGATAAAAAGGTGAAACACAAATTTCTAAAACAGATAAATGACACTTCCATGAAAGCTGTTAAGGGAAAGAAAATGAATTTCATTCCGTCAACATAAGGGTGTGAATTTATGAGGGATTCTATAGTGTAAGAAAAATCCTTCAAAAACCCTTTGGTTGGTTTGAAATTGATTAATTTTATTTGAAAATTCTTTCATAAACCAGAACAAAAGAAAATAAGTCCCCACACGCTGTCATGCAGATTCAAAGTATTACTGTCAGTTTCTATGATATAAAACTAAGTTCGTCTCGCAAGCAAATCTGGAATCACCCTTTATTTTTTGATTTTGGGAACTGACCCAAATTTTCTGAATGGTAGAATTCTTTTCAAAATGTTTTGAAATCTTCCACAATGCGATATCAGCGATGAACCAAACTGTTGAGCTTTCGAAAGGATCGCTCAGTGAGTTACGCGAAGCTATAGTGTTTTCTTTAACCTTTAATGAAGGGCAACGAACGTATCACCCATTCATTCTTGCTAATAAAAATAGCAAAATTAAGCCAGGTACACCTGTTTGGCACGGTCTGTTTCACATTGTTTTATAGCAGAGAGTTTAGTGCTCGAAACATGATTTGCTTCAAGTGAAATAGTGTGAACTACGTTTCTTGGGCTGCTAAAAGTGGGATAACTTTTTAATCAAATGATGAATGTAGAATTAATAGTTTGGCAAAGAGAACAAACATACAGCTACTTGATTCGAAACAAATAAAAATCAATTTCCTACTTTGCTGTTTTAGAGACCCATAATAAAAATAACGCGAGAACGTTAATTTAAAATTTTGACTTAAACTTTATGATCAAACAACATTATTTGTCATCGTAATTGTCTTACTTCCTGACGCTTTTCTTCTTCGGATTACAGCTCGCGTGCTACAAAGACATACATTCACAAGTGTTCATGAGATAGCTCTTTCAAAACTGAGCCCTATGTTTTCTTTGTTCATCAGTAATGAAGCAAACGAGACCAACTTTTCAACTGAAAAGCCTTATTTAGGGTATTTGGCCAACGAGACGAGAATGGCTAAGGCTTTTCAAACGCTAGCCTTGTCTTCATTCATTGCTGTCTCAGTTTTTGGCAATATTGCCTCGTTGTTACATCAGTGTATAAAAACGTTAACAAACGAATGCACGTTTTAGTAACTACCTGATGGTGAACCTGAGCATTGCAGAAATGTTGCTGGTAATTTTCAGCTTGTCGCGTATGTTGACTCTTTTTCGTTCATGTTGGTTACGAGTGGCTGGTCGACGGATCATTGGGTTTGTTCCTTTGCAAAGCGCAACACTCTTTTATCATCAAGGCACTATTGCGATAGCTTCTCTCTCACGCTTTCGTATTGATGAGAACATTGTTTAGCTTTTATCAAGACTCCGCGTCTAATACACGATTGCTTTCTAGTTTTAGGTTTCTTTGAGATTGAAATCGCTTCCTGGCTTGTTAACTGTTTCTTCAAACAGTTAAATTATATCCGCCAATTATATCCGTTAGAACGCCAAAAAAAATAGACACAAAATGGGGTGGTAAAAGGCGGTAGAAAATTATTCAACTCTGACTGAAATGGGAATCAAAAAGAGCGTGCCGGCTATCCACCACATACTAAAAGACTTAATGGATTAAGTTCGCTTTATTTGGCTTTAAGAAAAGGTCTTAAACGATGAGGCTGCGCAGTCATTCAACAGTAACTTCTCTGCGGTTATTTACAAGTTCCTACATCATTTTAGTACATCTCCAGATGTGATAATAATTTGTACAGAGAATATAAATCTACGAATCAGATCTTTTACGTAGCGTTAATGTTTCATAATATTCGTTCTCGAGCTGATGAGTAGATATTTGTTAATCGTAATAAATTCTAAACTTAATCACCTAACTTGAGCCTAAAACACTTAGGTTTCATTGAATATCAACGCGCCTGTTAAAGAGAAATGTGCTTAAATGAAAAATAACACTGCACGTAAATGGTACTTGGGAGAAGGGAACTTGTCACAATTTACAGTCCATCGTCTTGGCCTTCTTTTTACGAAAGCATTTTGTAGTCATTTACATCGCGGCCCCTACTTCAAACACTGTCAATCATTAAAGGCCTAGTTCAAAAGGTAAACTTTGTCACTACAGGCCACGAGAATTCGCCCATCTGACGTTATTGCTATTCCTGTTGGATATGTAAAGAAAGAGGTACTTTTGCCTGTGAAGCGACCGTCTATAGGAAATTGCTGAACTCGATTATTGTTACAGTCACACACCAAGAGATTTTTGGAACGGTCCAGATGAATTCCTAGAGGCTAGTTAAATTGTCCGTCTTGATCTCCTTGTCTCCCAAACTTGTGTAAGAATGTTCCTGACTGATAAAAACTTCGATGTAGTTTTTTCCTCCATCGCATACCAGAAACTTGTCTTTATGAGAAATACAGCTTGTTGGTTTGTCTAGTTTTTCTGGGCCCTCGTTTCCAAATATTGTCATAGTGTCACCTTCGAATGACATTATCTGTACCCTGTGATTAGATTCCTCGGTTACATGCAGTGCGGCGTTCCTGATCAAAGTAAACATCAGACTTCTGAGCAAACTCTCCTTTTGCTCTTCCATATTTTCCGAAGGTTTGTACACATTTTCCTGTGTAGACATCTATTTTCTGAATCCTGTGATTTGATGAATCTGCAACTAGAATGTCGTTATCACTTACGAATGCCATACCATGCGGGTGGTAAAATTTTCCAGCAATCTCGCCGTGGCCTCCAGTTTTTCTTACCAACGTTCCTGCTTTATCAAATAGGAATATGCAGTGTCGACTGATGTCTGTAATAGCCATCTCTTCCATCGTGTTTATTGCAATTCTGAAGAGTCTTTGGAGCTCTTCTCCGTTAAGAAGTTTTGAGTCCAACTCGCCAATTACAACAATCTCACGTGGTATTGCGACCACAGTGAAAGGAGAAGTTGGAAGTTTATCACCACTGATTTTCGCTTCAATGTTGTAGGAAACAGGTACTTTGGGTGTAAACTTCAATAATAGTTTGCCACTCTGTCCGTCGCAAACCACTACCTCTGTAACATCTTCTGTGGGTTCTACTGTAACTTCTACCTGTTCTTTAAGATCTGTTTGGGTGGAATACCCTCCAACCATAGGGGACAATAAGAATTCTGCTTCAACACCAGCCTTGAGAGTTTGATCCAGTCCCTCCAGTTTATACTGATCGGGATTTATTCCCTCTGAAACAACTATGCCCAGTTTTAGATCCTCTATAGACGATGGGACAAATTTTGATGAACGAAGTATCGTGATGAATTGGAAATTCAATTTCACGAAGTTCTTTAAATTTTTGATGTAAGATATCCTTACTCTCCATTATATCTGAGCTGGAGCTTTGTGACAAATTTTGTGCAAATTCAACCACTTGGTCCATTTGTTTCACCAGAGACTCGACTTCCACTTTTGACGAGTCAATTCTGTTGAGTTTCGTCACGCGTGTGGTCTCGAGTGACGCGATTGCTTCTTTCTCGCGTTCTCAAATCTGTTCGATCATGTGTTCAGCTGCTTGAGTAACTTTAGTTTTTGCGCTTGCGACGTTTTTTCCTAAGTTTGACTCTGTTTCTTCAATTTGTCGAACAAGTTTCTTCAAATCGTTTCCCCTTTCTCTGACGAGTGCAGTGTTGGCCGTGATGTTTCCTTTCTCGTTCTCAGCCATGTTGTCGAGTAAATCAACTTTGTGGTGTTGGTGAGTCCGTGACGATGCAAATATGGCCATACACTCGATTGACACTGAAGACAGAAAAATCTTTTGATCTCTTTCTGGCGAAATTTTTTTGAAAAAAAGTGCTGTTCCTTCAACAAAGCCTCTTAGTCTTGATCTTGAAAGTCCTTAACGGGCTTGACTTTGTGTCCACCGAAGTCGGTCCTCATTACTTCATGAACGGTTAAACAGACTAAACAGTCCGAGCACATGAATCTAACACAATCAAAGCAGTACTGAACGCTAGACTGGCTGTTATTCTTACAGTTATCACAAATAATACTTGTTCCATGACCACTTTCTCGAACAGCAAGGAGACTTAGTTTAACAAATGGTAAACACCACAGTGTACACTATTGAGTTATGAATGCACGCGGGAGGTTGCTAAGCACGAAAGAAGCGTAAGAGTCGCTCGAGGCGATAGCCGAGAGCGACTCTAGCTTCTTGAGTGCTTAGCAAACCTCCCAAGTGCATCCATAACTCAATAGTGTACG